AATCTGGGATAATCCAACAAATCCAGGGGAAAACGAAGGGAAAATCCTAGGAAAAATTCAAGCAAAATCAAGGGGGAAAAAAAATCAAGAAAAATCCAGAGGGAAATTCAGGAAAATTAAGGGAAAAATTCAAGGAGAATCAAGGAAAAATTAAGCGAAAATCCAGGGAAAAATCAAGGAAAAGCCGGGGCAATGCAAGGGAAATGAAAGGAAAATCGAGGAAAATGGAGGGGAAATGAAAGGGAAAACCTGGGAAAAAGCAGGGGAAAAAAAAATCAAGGAAAATCCAAGAAAAACTCAGGGAAAAGGTCAAGGAAAATGAAGGCAAAATTCAAGGAAAATCAAGCAAAAAAATTCAGGGAAAATGCAGGGAAAAATCAAGGAAAATGCAGGGAAAAATCCAGGAAAATGCAGGGAAAAATCAAGGAAAATCCAAGGAAAATTCCCCCTTTTCCCAGGATTTCCCCCTGGGTTTTTCTGCTCTATTTATCCAGGGATTAATCAATAACTGGGAATGCTCCGAGTTCTGCTTCAGGAGGGGAAAATTTGGGGATAATTCCCCAAATTTGGGATCTTTTTATTGGGAATTATTTAATGATTCGTTCCTAATTAATTCCAGAATTATTTAATTTGGATAATTTATTCCGATGATTAATTTGGGAATTATTTACGGAATTATTTTGGGATTATCGGGGGAATTATTTAGGCAATTATTTTTTAATGATTTCCCCATTATTTCCGGGATTCTTTTAGGATTTATAGGAATTTGAAGCTCCCAGTTTTGGAATTTTTGGGATGATCCAAATTCCCTGAGCAGGGGAGGAAAAGGAAAGGAAATAACTTTGGAAAAACCCTTGGAAAAAAAAAAAAAAAAAACAGGAAAAATCCGGGAATTTCACCTGGGAACTGGTGCAGGTCGTCCTGGAGCTCCTCCTCGTCCATCCCGAGATTTTTTTGGGGAATTCTTTGGGATTTTTGGGATCAGGAGAAATCCGGGAATGATCCCAGGAATGTTCCAGTTCCCCCTCCCCCTCCAGAAGGTTAAAATTTAATCCAAGGAATTTTCGGGGATTTTTAAGGCTTGGATTGGGGCCAATCCCAAAGAATTCCTGGGTTTTGTTTTTTTTTTTTTGCCCTTCATTTGAGGATTTTTGTGAATTTTTAGAGGTTTTTTTCAATTTTTTTTTTTCAGGATTTTTTTTGGGATTTCCACGTATTTTTGTGAGATTTCCATGAAATTTTGGTGACTTTTTTGTGGATTTTGGTGGGGTTTTCATTGATTTTTAAATGGATTTTTATGGAACTTTTTAAATTTTTAGGTGAATTATTTTTGGATTGCAGGGTTTTATAATTTTGTGGATTTTGGGGAGAACTTTTTGCAATTTTTTGTAGATTTGAGGGGATTTTTGTGGACTATTGGCAATTTTTTATGGATTTGGGCAGATTTTGGTGGACTTCCAATTTTTTTTTTTATTTATTTTGGGGGGAATTTTTTTGTGGATTTTTAATAGGTTTTTTGGTTGGTTTTTAAGGATTTTTTTTTTTTTCAGATTTGGGGGGATTTTTGAGGATTTTAAAAATTGATTTTGAGGGATTTTTGTGGATTTTAGGAGATTTTTCTTTCTAATTTTGAGGATTTTGGGGGAAATTTTTCAGGAATTTTCAAGATTTTCCTCCTCTCTTCGAATCAAATCCACAAAACCCCGGAGCTGCCGCCTCCAACCCTCCCC